AAGACACATTATATCCTGGGTGTAGTTTCCCTCCAGGACTGACCCTGATGGCAGAGCCATCTTCCTTGGAATTAGCCATGTCGTGGAGTCTCCAGGAGCAAGGGTTCTCAGACCCAGATTTTGTGCAGTGACCCTTGTCATGGAGACAAGACAGGGAGTTTTTTATTCTGCTGGTTGAAATTGTGTCTGAAAGACGTTTTTTGTTGTAGGACCTAAATGTTGGAGTTCTACAACAAAGTAGTACAACAAAGTAGTACTCCCTCAAACTCAGAAAATCAACTGGAACTATTAATCTCATTTTATATCTGCCCCATCAGTGAGCCCATTTAAAGCACTAGCCTTTGTTCTTTTGCACTAAAAATTGTGGCACCACTGATCATACCCAAAACTCATGATTTTCTCTTTCCCCTTTAAATTTACAACTGTCCTTTCTAGTATTTTCTTGAAAGTGACATCAGTTCATTTGAACAAAATGTCAGAAAACCTCCTTAAATTAATTCTGCAAAACTTAAATCTGCACTCTCTTCCCAAGGATGCTGTTTTATTCACACCATAGAAATTATCTCTCTAAATTTATCTGATTAATTCTTCTTCTTCTTTTTTTTTAATTAACCTACTAGAATGGAACCACTCTGAGAGCAAGAAATTTACCAATAACTTTTCTACCGTGACTTCAGGGTGTAAGACAGTTCCCTTTCAAAAACATTCAAAACGATTTGTCAATTAATTGACTTAAATCAATTTACTCAAACTCAATATATGCCAACAGATATATTTGGATTTCCTTCATAATGCAGATGATCAATACCACATTTTTCTTTTACTTTGCATTTCCTTAGTTCTTTATACCTCAGCTGAGGCTGCTTATAATTTCTCATTAATCCTAGAAACTCTCTCTTCCATTCCATTCATCCTTGAAGCACTCAGGCCACACCTCCTCTCCCTTCAACTTGTGTCACAATCTCCTGAAGAGGTGTTGTAACTCCCCCTTACCTGTTCAACTATATTGTAAATACAGTGTGATTTCAAGGACACAGTTCTTATATTGTGTGATTTGTGTTGTGGTGTTAGGGATACAAGAAATAGTTGGAGAAGTCATTTTCTCTGATGCACATAAGAGAAGAAATGCTTGTATTATGTCAAGGAAGAGCCTTCATATTCATGAAATATGTCATCAGTCCAATTATCAAGAGAGGATACAACATCTCAAAAAAGGAGTAATTCACAAACAAAAACACAGAGATGTGTTACAAGCAAAGAACCATTTTTATTGAGAATATGGGATTTGTTAAATGTGGGATGAAAGGATCATTGCCACAGTCACAACACAGAATCTAGATTGGGGGAGTAAAGACTAACATTTGGAAAATAGTCAGATAATACTACACAGCCTCAAGCCAGAAGATGTCATCCACAAATGTTCACCTGAGGTCAAAATTCCTATGAAGCATGCAATTACTTGGAAATATAAACCTTGGGAATGGATCCATGAATCAGCCCTCTATTAAGGCATGTCATTTCAGAAGCAAGTGGGGCTTGGACAGTGATGTTCTACCAGCAAGAGGAATAACATCTTCTATAGAAAAATGGCCGGTAGCCACAGCAGTTGGAGCCATAGCCATAGCCACAGCCATATCCGGTGCCATAGCCACAGCAGGAGCCATAGCCACAGCCATAACGCAGGCCATAACCACAGCCATAATAGGGACCGCATCCACAACCATAGCCATATCCGCAGCCATAGCCACAGGAGTTGCTGTAGTTACAACACATCTTGCCAAGAGAAGAGAATTCACGTGGGTTGTGAGAGGATGTGGTGAAGTGCGTGTCTTCTACTTGCTTTGGACCCTTATATACTGTCAGTATAGCAGAGCATGTCACTCATCCCCTGACTTACCCAACAAATATGTAAGCAACTGTGTTGTTCCAGTCACTGTCAACAAACAATAATGTCTTGGGTAAGGTGAGCTCATTAATATGGAGACTCCAGTTTTATTTAAAGAACAGCATTTTAATTCACTCTGCCAAAAAAAAATATTTCAAGAGAATCATTTGCTTTAGGTAAAACTGGAATCATGTTTACAACATCCTATCTTTTAACATACTTTATATAATAAGGCTGAGGGAAATTTTGGAAAGTTTTGTCCTCCTTGATCTTTCCACACTCCCAAAATATCTACCTCTGCCCATAAGGAAAGAAATACTTCATCTCCTTCCTGGAAACATTGCAACATCTTGCCAGGATTCTGACATCCAGATACCTACTGCAGATACCTACTAGCTGCATGTGGGAGAAATGAGGGAAGACTCTAATCCCAGCCACAGAACAAACCCCAACAACAATGAAATATCTGCTATACTATGCCAATAGTGTTGAGATCTAGAAACCTTGGTTTATAACCTTGCATCTATAGCTTCTCTATTTATTGGTGTCTAATTCCAAATATTTCCTTTCTCTTCAGGTAAACCAAATATAGAAGCATTCCATCACCAGACATGAAGTCAAGAAAAAAACAGGAAGAAAGAAAGAAAGAAAGAAAGAAAGAAAGAAAGAAAGAAAGAAAGAAAGAAAAGAAGGAGGGAGGAAGGGAAGGAAGGAGGGAAGGAAGGAGGGAAGGGAGAGATGAAGGTGTCTCTGTTTTTTGTTTGTATGGTTGTTTCTTGGGATGTTTTTGCTTATCTTCATTGTCTAGGCTTTACATCAATCACCATTTTATGAACCTGGCAGAATCCAAAATTTGCATTACTTTTTAATGTGACAACTATAAAATCCAAGCTGGAAGAGAGTACAAATTCAGGAAGATTATTCCCTCTACTCCACACTAAAATTTCCCAACAAAGAAATGTGTGACATCCAGTCTTTTATTAAATGCTTTCAACTGGGAATTTCATAAAACTGCTGATTTCCTTTCCTGTGATCCTTCCTTAGTAGACATTTTTCCTTCACTTGACAGTATTTCCTATTACTTTTTCTAATACTGGTCACTGGTCTATCTGATCACTCTGCTGTGATTCATCCCTTACAGGAAGTTTAAGGAAACTATATCCATTACAATTGTTCTTTGACTTAATTTTCTCTACTTTTCTACCATGCTTGAAATTCACAGCTATAAACTCTAATGCACAAAATCCCTAGAATACACACTTGTTTTTCTAACACCCTCTTTCTTGTCACAATACTCCTGAACTATTGGAAAAGTTTTCTAGCTTTAATTGCATTATTTCTAGTACCTTTCCATTCAGATCTCTGGATACAGATCCATTACGGCAGAAGAAATCATCAGTATCACCAGTAGGTAGAGTTCCTGGCACATAATTTGAAATCAGTCAATATTTCCCCAATTAAAAAATGAATTAAAACAAAAATGTGTTCAAACGTTGGTGTGCATTTAGTAGTTATAAGATAATTCAATGTATTATCACAATGTTCTTAATCCATTCAAGCTGAGAGTCACAAATGTTCTTTGAGTGAGCCTCAAATTTCACATTTGGAGATAGTCGTCGGTTTATGAACACATTTTTCCTGTTGTATAAATTATCTTATATACCTAATAAATGATTAACCCTTTACTGGATTTGTAAATTATTATACACATGCCTAATTTGCTATTCTTCCCTCTTTCAGAAAGCCTTCAAAGACAAGAACATAATGAAACAATGAGTAAATTTTTAACAAACTGTAATTATTAGCATTCCTTTCTGCTGTTTGTAAGTGGTACCCACCTCATATTAACCCAGAGCACAGTCAGTCCCCAGAAATGACTTACAAATATCCTATCTATGAAAACTATTCAACCCTTAAAAGAAGCCTTATTTATTCATCAGCAAGACACATTATATCCTGGGCATAACCTCACTTCAGGGCTGTCCTTGATGACAGAGCCATCTTCCTTGGAATTGGCCGTGTTTTAGTCTCCTAGCTCCAAGTTCCTCAGATCCAAACTTTGTGCAGTGACCCTTGTCATGGAGATGAGACAATGAGTCATTTTTTCTATTGGTGGAAATTGAGTCTGAAAAGACATTTTCTGATGTAGGGTCAAATGTTAGAGATTTGGAAAGTCACACAGGGATAGAACACTGAAGTCAGAACCTAACAAAGTAGTCAGCCCTCAAACTCAGAAAATCAACTGGGACTATTAATCTCATTCTTATATGTGCCCCAAACAAAGAGAGCTCATTTAAAGCACTAGATCATTGCTCTTTTCTACCAAAAATTGTGGCACCACTGATCATACCCAAAACTTAATGAATTTCTCTTTCCTCTTTATACCTACAGCTGTTCATTCTAGTATTTCTTTCAACGGGCATTAATTCATTTTACACAAAATGTCAAAATACCTCCTTGAACTAACTCTCCAATACTTCATCCTGCACTCTCTTCCCAAAGATGCTGTTTTATTCCCTCCATAGGAATTATCTCTCTAAATTTATCCAAATTAATTCTTTTTTTTTTTTTTTTAATTTTCACTTACTAGAATGGAAATGCTCTGACAGCAGGAATCCTGTCTACAATTTTGCTCCTGTATCTTCAGCATGTAGGATAGTTCCCTTTAATAAACATTCTAAACTATTTGTGAGTTAAGTGACTGAAATCAATTTCCTCACTCTCAATATATGCCAACAAATACATCCGGACTTCCATTAAATTACAGATGATACAATACCACATCTTTCTTCTAAATTATTCTTTCCTTAGTTCATTAGACACCTGAGTCCATTTCTAATTTCTCATTAATCCTGGAAACTCTCTCTTCCACTCCATTCATCCTTTAAGTACTCAGGCCACACCTCCTCTCCCTTGAGCTTGTGTCACAACCTCCTGAAGAGATGTCATTCCTCCTTATCTTTCCCCTCCACCTCCATTCTAGATACACTGTGATATCCAGGTGACAGTTCTGAAATACTATGTGATTTTTGTTGGGTTTTGAGGACCTTAGCAAGAGGAATATGAGAAAGGTGAAGAAGACATTTTCTCTGATTCACGTATGAGTAGAAATGCTTGTATTATATCAAGGAAGAGCCCCAGGTTCATGAAACACTGTCAGCCCAATTTTCAAGAGAAGCCATAACACCTGAAAAAAGGAGTAATTCACAAGCAAGAACACAGAGACGTGTTAGAAGCAAAGAACCATTTTATTGAGAATAAAGGATTTGCCCAACTGCGGGGTGTTAGGATTGTTGCCACGGTCACAATGCAGAATCCAGATTAAGGAAGTAAAGACAAATATATGAAAAAAAGTAAGATGATACTATACAGCCTCAAGATGCCATCCTACAATAGCTAACCAGTGGTCAAAGCCTCTGTGAAGCATACAATTTCTTGGATATAGAAATCTTGGGGTATGGATCCTTGACTCAGCCCTCTATTAAGGTGTGTCATTTCAGAAGCAAATGTGGCTTGGACAGTGATGTTCTAGCAGCAAGAAGAATAACATCTTCTATAGCAAAATGGCCGGTAGCCACAGCAACCAGAGCCATAGCCACAGCCACAGCCACAGCCATATCTGGTGCCATAGCCACAGCAGGAGCCATAGCCACAGCCGTAACCTGAGCCATATCCACAGCCAGAGCCACAGCCATACCAGGAGCCATATCCACAGCCACATCCCCTACCATAGCCACAGCCATAGCCTGTTCCATAACCACAGCCATAATAGGGGCCATATCCACAGCCATAGCCACAGGAGCTGCTGTAGTTGCAACACATGTTGTTGTCAAGAGAAGAGAATTCACGTGGGTTGCGAGAAGATGTGGTGAACTGTGTGTCTGCTACTAGCCTTGGACCTTTATATACTGTCAATGATTGGCAGAGCATGCCATTCATCCCTTGACGTTCCCAACAAATATGTAAGTAGCTGTGGTGTGCCAGGCACCGTGAACAATCAATAACGGCTTGGGATAAATGAGCTCATTATTTTTGGACACTCTTGTTTTATTTAAAGAACAGCATTTTGGGGCGCCTGGGTGAAACATTTAGGTTCATGTCCGGCATCGACTTCAGATCGATCTGGATCCGTGAGTTGAGCCCAGCGTCGGGCTCTGGGCTGATGGCTCGGAGCGCCTGAGCCTAGTTTCCGATTCTGTTCTCCTCATCTCTGCTCCTCCCCAGTTCATGTCTGTCTGTCTGTCCCATAAATAAATAAAAACGTTGAAAAAAAATTAAAAAAAAAAAAAGAACAGCATTTTAATTCACTCTGCCAAAGAATCGTCTCACTAGAATCATGTGCTGTCCATAAAACTGATACTCGCCTTCACAACCTCCTATCCTTCAATATATATAACAAGGCTGAGGGGAATAGAAAAATTCTGTCCCTCTTTTTTTTTAAGTTTATTCATTTATTTTTGAGAAAGAATGAGAAAGCAGGAGAAAGCAGAGAGAGGGAAAGAATCTGAAGTAGCCTCTATACTGTCATCACAGAGCCCAAAGCTAGAACTCACAAACCTTGAGATTATGACCTGAGCCCAAGTCAGACACTTAACCAACTGAGCCACCCAGGTGCACCTGTAACTCCTGATCTCTTCTCTTTTGTAAAATAGCTGCCTCTGCCAATAGGGAAGAAAATAACTCCTATCTCCTTTCTGGAATCCTTGCTACTTTCTGCCAGGCTTTTCCCACTCACCCTCAACTTCCATTCCTCCACCCTTTTGTTCAATCCTCCTCAGATCCCAAGAAGCAGTTCAACATCTGATAATTCATTCACTTTCACTGGGACACTGACTATTAATAAGTTTGGAGAACTGTGCTATATATGCGTGTATCTTCTTATATGTTC